AGAGATTGGGGGTGGCACACAACCACAGTAACACTATAATCATAGGGAACTACTGAGATGTTGTCCCCAGTTACAACTTCCAGATAAATTTAGATATGCGGATTCAAAATATATCCTGTGTTACATGGGCATCTTGCATTCCTCCAGCTTAGATGTACCATTCACAATTTTGTTTGTCTGATTGCATGATATGCCTAGGTGTGCCATTAGATTTAGTGGATTTGTCAGGAAAGGCCACTAACCTCAACCACATGCCATTCATTTATATGAATGATATCACGCTTAGCTTTTAAACCTTTTAATGAATTAAATGCATTTGAAGCAGTGGTTGAGAAGAACTTAGTGATCGTGTTGGCTTCTTCTTTTTTTAATTATTCTCCTTTAACTATACAGAGCTATTATCAGAAGTAAAGGGCCAGAAAATTAACATTTATTTAGGAACCTCAATTGATCATCTGTGTCAGACTCCTGGGACCAAGTCTCAAGAAATGCTACTGTTGTTTTGTGTTGAGCTCCTGAGTCCAAGCTTCCAAGAACACAATTGTTTACGTTGGGGTTCTGAGACCATACTCCCAGGAGTATAAATATTATAAGAATAATTTCCCACTACATAGTAAAAGCATCATTCTGCAAGAGTACACAAATATTTCCACCGTCTCAGAAAGAAGAGGTGAACTTATTTCCACCTCAAAAAGAGAGGTGAACTTAAAAAAAAGAAGAAAAAAGGAACAAGTTTTATGAATGGCTGGAAGAATACAAAGGACCCTGAAGTGGTAAATAAATTTCATCTGAAAATTTACTTTCTGTTAAAAAAAAGAGTAAGTTATTTACATATTTTTAATTTTAGTAATCGCCTGGGTAGTTGTTTTAAAAGCTGAATGAAGAAAATACTACTATAGTGTATTGTGGAGAATAGGACATTCTGCTTGGTAGATGGTGCCTCATAAAGCTTATATAGACTGCACTTAGCTTACAAAATGGCCTGTGGTTTGTATGACACACTAAGCCAAACCTTAGCTTAGTGATGTTGTGAGGAAAATATCCACCCAGCGCTCCCTAAGTCCCTTTATTCAACAACATTGAGGAATGAGGCCACACAAACACCAGGATTGATCAATCGAACAGACCGTTACAGGGAAATTGGATGGGAGAGGCTGAGACACACACACACACCTGAGCCTTGCCTCACCATGAGGCAAGGACAAAGTGTCTTCGCTGCGCATTACCAAAACATCATTCATTTGGGTTCAAAGCTCCATTCACAAGGTGCCTGTCTGGTCAGAGGCTCCAGATCCATGACAGCAGCCCTTAATGGGGAATTTATCACCAATCCACAATTCTCTTCTTCAAGGTCAGAGAGATAGATAAAAGAGAACTCATCTAACTACAAGCCCTTTACTCCCCTTTCTAAGTACTGGAGCTTATCTATTTCCTGCTGGTTTGGCAGGCAGAGCACAAACCAATTACTTTTTTATTGTGTCTTAAGCATGGATTCCCTGCATGATCACCTCAAAACTGAGTCTCTGCTTTTTGCTTATAACAGTGAGAATGCACAAATGTGCAGCAATATTACTATAGTGTATTGTGCAGAATGTGAAATCCTGCTTGCTTTGTGGTCTCTCTTGAAAACTATATAGAATGCATGTAGAATACCCAATGAATGACCTGGTTTCCATGACACGCTAAGCCAAATCTTATCTTAGTGAGACTTCACAAATGTGCAACCTCCTGGAAAGAAGATGATAGTCGCTTTGCTACTGTGTGGTTCTTTTTACTGCCATCTTAAGATACAGCCAGTTTTGTCATAGCACATCATTCAAACCAGGACTAATGGTTAAGCTTTGTCCTCACTAACCACGAGCTGTAACCAGGAGCAAGCCTTGATTTCAGCTCATTTATTCTGGTTTTATCAGTGGGGTCTTTGAAGGAAAGCTCTTAGGGGTTCTACATGGTTCAAACACATGGCTTATATTCAGCAGGAGGCATGTATTCAGTATTCTGGGCCCAATTCTTGCAGCAAGTTTTAACTGTTTTTATCTTTATTGTATATTTTTAAACTCAATGTACACTGTGTCCAGACAATGGTGTCAAGGGCATAATATGGGTGTTGCCAGAGGGGCCATGGCCCCAGGCATGATTTTTTGAGGGGGGGGGGTGAAACAGGCATCTCTGTGCCCCTCTCCAAGCCTTGGAAGAGGGGCACCTGGTTTTCACCCTCCAAGTGCCATTTTGGCTGACCGGGCTCCCCTGGAGGAGAGAGCTTAACTACTAGTCCTGGTTTGAATGATGTGCTATGACAAAACTGGTTGTAATGAGCAGCACCATCTACTACAATAGTAGTTTATTTTAAGAGAATGATGTATTATTATCTATAGAGAGTCAATATTTGTTTTCAAAAGATGATTTAATCTAATGTTTATCTCTTTTTTCAGATTCAGCAAGCATTTTAGTCATGAATGCCAAAAAAGACAACAAATCTTCTGTCTCTGACTTTCTACTCCTTGAGTTCTCATCAATACGGGAACTGCAGATTCTACACTTCTCTCTGTTCCTGGTATTGTACCTGGCAATTGTATTAGGGAATCTTCTCATAATATCTGCAGTCACCTTTGACCAGAAACTTCACACTCCCATGTATTTCTTTCTGATGAACTTGGCCATCCAGGACCTAGGTACTGTTTCAGTCATTATTCCTAATTCCATGGCCAATTCTCTCATGAATAACAGACACATTTCTTCTGCGGGATGTGCTGCTCAAGTCCTCTCACTTCTATTCTTTCTATATCTGCAGTCACTTTGCAATCCATTACAATATGAAATGGTGATGAATAGGACATTCTGCACTCAAATGATTGCTGGTGTGTGGGTCGCTGGCCTTCTCTATGCAGTCATGCACACTAGTGCAACTTTTGCAACTCCATTCTGCTCAAATATTGTCAACCAGTTTTTCTGTGAGGTCCCATCGTTACTTACAATTGCATGTTCTAGTTTATACCTAATAGAAATTGGAGTTTTGGTGGTGAGTATAATCCTGCTGGCTGGCTGCTTTGCCTTCATTGTCATCACTTATATACACATCTTCATGGCCGTTCTGAAAATTCCTTCTATTCAGGGAAGGAAAAAGGCCTTCTCCACTTGCATTCCCCACCTTGTGGTCTTCTCCATATTTTGTTTCACAGGATGTTTTGCTTACTTCAGGCCTCCTTCTAAAACCCCATCATTTCTGGACATTGCCTTAACTGTGATGTATACCATTGTACCACCCATGTTCAATCCAATAATCTACAGCATGCGAAATAAGGAGATTAAAAATTCTTTATCAAAGCTGTTGGGTTTGAAGACCTCTTCTATGAATATCTTTTCCAGGCTTATTCTGAAAACAGGAAATCTCTCTCTGTGAGTAGAATCATAGCGAGCTCCTGAAACACACTGTCCTTGTTAGACATGTAGATTCAAAATTCCCCCTGTGTCACAATATCTTCTTGAATTTCCCTAGCTCAGTTGTACTGTTCACACTTCACTTCTCTGATCACGTAGCCTGTTGAATTGATCTTACATTAATATATTTACTGTGCAGTTCCTCTTCAACTGAACTGTGGGAAATAATTTCAAGGCAGCCTACAACTGGCTGAACACCCACTCAACCCAGCAGACCTTAATCCCCTGCCAGATGGATGGGAATAGGACATATCTCCCTCATCCTCTGTTGACCCAGAACATGGAAATGGCAATTTGAACTGAGTATTCTTTCTGACAGTGAGCATAGAAGCAAGCTTCTTGAAGCTACTGTTCCTCTGGCTAGTGAATGGGGTTAGGCTTGTCTTCCTCTTGCTGTGATGTCCTTTCACTGAGTTGGGACAGTGTTTTTCATTAAAGAGGAGAAAAAATATTGTTTTGACATATTGAGGGCTTGGACTGTGGAATCAAATGGAGTCATATTAAGTCTCTGCTACTAGTCAGAGCACTAAGGACCATTGGAACTCTAAACACCCTCCCTCTAAGGATGTGCAGCATGGCAAAGGTTAGTTCAAACTGCTTCTGTACATCAACCTCTGATGCTTTCATTCCTCTTCTTTCCATAATCTCTTTTGTGTCTTGTATAATTTTTTATTTTGTTTTGTTTTCATTGTCTTAAATAACTTATTTGGAATTAGTTATTTTGTTTTCATTTGCCCAATTCATATCCCATCCTGCAGCCCTTTCATCAAGAGACATTGCCAGTCTGCTGTCTGTAACTTCAGCGTTTTGTATTCAGATAGCATGACTTTTTCAGGCATTCTTTAGAAAGGAATGCACCCACCAAATTTCTGATTAGACAGAGGACAAATGTTTCACAACTTATATAGGTGACTTAAAAAGGTGGAGACCTTTTAGTGCATGTTATGCAGCAACTGCCCTGTGATCCTTGCAGATTGTTCCAGAGTGCTTTGCTTATTTTTCATTTAATTTTAAATAATTTAAATAGTTTAAATAAATAAGGTAAGAAAAGTATCTAGTTATTTTCACCAGAAACAATGAGAAAGTATGCTCAACAAAAAATAACTTTAAGAATGGAAATAATGTTCAAATGGCCAAAATAATGTGAATCATAAGCCCTAATTAGTCAGGCTGGGTGGGGAGACATGTATAACAGAACTCTATGTAATTTTGTTGCTTCACCTCTTAAGTTTGACTAATGCAAATAGACAGAAAAAATGCAAATAAATAATTTTAAAAGACTGATTTATTTTTTATTCAAACAGTTCTCATTTACCTGCCTACAATGAGCCTGGAGCTGACTACTGTTACGAACAGAAGTACAAAACATGAAGTTAACCTTTTCCCTTCATGTCTAAAATGGTGAAGCAATGACATTTGAAAATGTATTATCTATTGAAAAAGTACCAAGGTTTTTTTTATATTGTTATAGTGATGACCTGGGTAGAATAATAGGATCATAGACTAGTTGGAAGGGACCACAACAGTCATCCTGTGCAAGTCCCTGCAATGCAGGAATCTTTCACCCAACATGGGGTTTGAACCCATGATCCTGTGATTAAGTGTCTCAAGTTCTACCAACTGAGCTATGTGGCTCTCTGTCACAGCCTCTTCCTGCTCAGTAAACCCTGTTGCCTCTTCAGCTTCTGACACATCCTTCTCCCAGTCTGCTCCTTCTTCTTCCTCTGAGCGTGCATCATCATCCCACCACCAACCCCCTGACTCTGAACCTTCTTCTCCTGGGGGTTCCTTTGTTGGTTCTTTAGCTGGTGCCTCACACCACTGTTCTGTATCTAGCCAGTCCATGATGGCATACTTCACATAATTAGAAATCCTGTCTGTCTGTAACTTCAGGGCCCAGATCCCAGTGGTCTTTCGTACTCTGGCTGACACCAGAGGCCATATTGTACTTCCTTTCAGCAGCAGCATTTTTGGTTTAGTATTTTAATTGACTTTATCTTTCTTTATGTCTGTCCATCCATGGTTATACATAAAGTAGGGCACACAAAGATGGCAGAATGTCTTTCATTAAAGAGGAAAACACCGTTTGTATCAGCATACTGAGTGCTAAGACTGTGGAAAGAAATGGAAGTATATTAGGCTCTCTTCTGCCAGCCGGGGCATCAAGGACCATTCAGAGTCTACATCTCCTGCTAGCTCAGCGGTATATTTTGCTCTCACCCCTTCTGTATCTAAAACACTGAGTTTGGATAATCATTTGTATCTTTATGTAATGCAGAAGCAATGGAAAGGTGTGAAAACAGGATCCCTTCGATTTTAACTTTGGTGAACCAAAACACAAGCCATAAGAAATTATTTGTTTGTGTGTGTTTCTTTTAAATCAGAGGCTGATTAAGATAATCTGCTTTACAGTAGTTTCCAAATGTCCCACTTTTATACATTCTATTGCTTCCAAATGTGTAATATTAAAGCCAGAATAATGCTTAGGTCTAAAGCAGGGGTGGTGTTTTCAGCCAAGCACCATATTGCATCTCTGGAAACCTTCAGGGGCCATGTAGCATGCATAGCTGTCAATGTTTTCCTTTTTTAAAGGGAAATTCCCTTATTCCGAATAGGATTCCTCACAAGAAAAGGGAAAAGTTGACAGCTATGGTAGCATGTCTAGAGCAAAACTGGGTGTAGCAATGACTGTGAATTTTACCTCTGCATAATAGGCTAGATTCTACGCTCTCACACAACACTCTGTAAGTTCCAGCTACAAAAAAAGGCATTATCAGAGCTCAAGGACTCATTCCAGCCAGTGAAAACATTCAAAGAATGTGTGAGGCAGGGTTGGGGAGGGAGTTTGGCTGGTGATGATGTGCAGCCAGTGGAGAGTTTCAAGAGCCAAGTAAAGGTCTGTGTTGGCCTCCACAACTGGGTATCTAAAGGATATCAGTATAAATTCCTCTCATCTTCATTAGGGGTATTAATGTGGGTTGTTCTGTTATATCTCTCAGTTTACTTAGACTGTGGCAAGCTTATTCTAGTCATGCTCTCCCATAAAACATTTAATCCCACTTTTCCTAGGATGAAGGCACAATAGAAACCATGTTTGATTATTGTGCACCTGTTCTTCACCAATGACCATTTGTTTATCCAGTTTCTACCTATGGCTCTATTTCCAATTCTGCTAAATATAAACTGCATGGGAAGAACAGTGCTGGGATGTGGGGTCATTGGAAAGCAGGAGTAATGGCTACAAAAGGATCATTCTGCATCCTGCTTTCTATATATATATATATTGTGATGGGGAAAAATAGCATCTATATAATGATACTCACAAATTGTGAATTAAAAACAAGTGAATAAGCCAAAATTCACAGCACATACAGTAAAAGTGTACAAGTGTACAGGTAACCTGAAATAAATTACATTTTATCTATCAATTTACATTTCCAAAGGATTATAATTAATTCAAATAAAATGAATATAATCTTTTAAAGAGAAAAATGTAAACGTTATTATTTGTAATTCAATACTAGCATTTGTGTTAAATCAGTTTTAGGTTGTCTTGATTTCAGATGGAAATTGCAGTCCTATCCACAATAATCTGCCACTGTGTCTCATTGATTTTAATATTACACACAATACACACACACACACACAGAGAGAGAGAGAGTGGTACCTCGGTTTAAGAGCAGTCCTGTTTAAGAACAATTTAGTTTATGAACTCCGCAAAACCAGAAGTAGTGTCCCAGTGTAGCTATAGAGGCAGAGGTGGTACTTCAACAACATCTGCAGAGCTACAGATTAGTCACTGCTGGTATAAAGCCTTATATAGATGAATTCAACATGCAATATAAGGCTACAATCCATAGTACACTTTCCTGGGATTAATTCCCATTCAATCCAATGATACCTGCTTCTGAGTAAACTGATGTACGATAGGACAAATCTTATGCAAGCCATCTAGGCAACTGCAACTGTTTGCTAAAATGAAGAGTGGGTTTTGCCTAAGAACTGGGGGGAAATATTGACAAGCAGCTTCCAGAATGCAATTTTGAGCTCCCTGTTTCTTATGCTATAGATGACCGGGTTCATTATTGGCGGCACCATGCAGTAGAACATAGAAACCAAGAGGTCAAATGCTGATGGGGACCCAGATGTTGGCTTTAGGTAGACAAACATGCCACTTACCATAAACAGGGAGATAACAATAAAATGAGGCAAGCAAGTCGAAAAGACTTTTTGCTTCCCTTGACTGGATGGGATTCTCAGAACAGCTCTGAAGATCTGAACATAAGAAAAAACAATTAGAAAAAAGTAAACAAAGCCAAAACAAGACCCCAGAATCAGAACCCGGACTTCATTGATATATGAGTCAAAGCAAGAGATTTTTAGCAGTTGTGGGATTTCACAGAAGAATTGATTGATGACATTAGAACAGAACTCCACAGTGAACGTTGTTCCAGTGTGCATTGCTGAATAGAAAAGTCCACCGATCCATGCACTGGTTGCCATCTGAATGCAAGCTTTCTTGTTCATGATAGTCTCATAATGCAGTGGATTGCAGATGGCAACATAGCGATCATATGCCATGACACCAAGAATGATGAAATGGGAGACCATGAAAAAAACAAGGAAGAATACTTGGCAAACACAGCCAGAGTAAGAGATGGCTTGGTTTTTCATCAAGGAATTTGCAATGGACTTGGGAACTGTAACAGATATGGAACCAAAGTCTTGTAATGACAGGTTGGCCAGAAAAAAGTACATGGGTGTATGAAGCTGATGGCTATAGATGATGACTGTGATGATGAGAAGGTTTTCTATGAAGGCCACCAAATACACTGTGACAAAAAAAATAATGTGGAATATCTGCAGCTCCTGCATCTCAGAGAATCCGAGCAGAAGGAATCCATTCACTCTTGACTGGTTCAACATTGTATTGTTCAGAGTTCTATTTGTTACCTGTGCAAAGAAAATGCCACACGACTTCTTTTTTTCATTTGATTGTATCTATTTGTGAAATGGAGTGGTTCTCTTTGGACAAAATATCCTTCCCTTTCTGGCAGTGGTGATGGAAATAAAAATTGTACTAATGAACTTTATTGATATCTCATTTTTAATTGTACCCAGAAGGTTCAGTTCTCAGGAGTTAAGTGCAGCTCAGCTGCACTAAGTCAGACACATTTTGGGAGTCATGTGCTCATAATGACTGTGATTCAATGGCTGTTATTTAACTTGAAAGCATTGTTTTGATGGTGACTCTGTTTATATGATTGAATGTTGACACCCCCACCCTTGAATGGAGCTGAGGAGTAGGAAAGGTCTTTGGTAGGGTTTGTGGTTTGTGGGTGGTATTCCTAGTTGCGGGGGAGGGGAGACAAGATCAAGGACCAGTCTGTATTTTGGGCATGGTGACAGAACTGGATTCACCTAGTCTGTGGCACAGTGTGACTTAAGAGTTAGCCCTCCTGGACAATTGAGTAAACTGGGCCCATTCATTCATGAATATTGTTGAGCCTTAGGAGGGTATTATTGCTTACTCAACCCAGTAGGCTTTATATCTGACAGGCCCCTGAATGTATTTTTGAGCTGAATAAGGCCCTCGAATGAACTAGGCTTACTTGAGGCCATCTTATTCCAGATGGGCTTCAGGTCTCATTGGGGTCTAGTCCATTCACTATGTGGTAGGGATCAGTCAGCATCGGGATTCATCCACCTATTAAGGGAAGCCTACCTCCTTTGGGGACTTTTGGAGAGATTATTGTGGATGTGCCAAAGATGTTGATGTTATGGAAACAGAGGAGCACTATGTGCAATGAGTTGCCCTGTTTGCAAGTCCTGTTCATGAGTTCCCATAAACTATAAGCAGCTAAATAGAACTCCTCCAACTCACTTCCTTATTCAGCCTGGCTTCCTCTCAGCAGTAGCCCCCCTCCCTCAGACCATGTGCTCTAGCAGAGCACACAGCTACATTCACAATCTAACTCTCCAAATCAAGCCTCCAAACAGCTCAGACAAGCAACCAGCCTTAATCCAAAAGCCTCAAAGTCTTCTTCCATTTAGCCAGGGCCGTCTTTACCCAGGGGTGCAAGGGGTGCGGGACACCTGGGCACCAAATTCAGGGGGGTGCTAGGTGCCCGCCACTGAAGCCACCTAAGCTCTTAACTATCTACATGTTATGAAATAATAAATAATTTTGATCAAGTTAGAAAAACAAAATACATATATACCTAGGTATTACCGAAATGTATACCTACTGTTTCACTAAAGGACTTTCGACTTTGTGCGCTCATTTACCAAAGACATGCCATGCCAGCGGCGGCCCTTGTCATTCACAATGGTGGCACTTGACTCAGTGATGGTGCTTGTCATTCACAATGGCAGCCCTTGTCATTCTCAACAGCACCATGCACACAAAATTAACTCTTACATCAAAATATTATGTTATATATTGCATTGATATGTGCTGCTAAGCGGCAGCGGGGTCAGCAGCACCTTTGACACGACTGATGTTTCTCCTAAGTAGGTGCCTAAACAATACTTACAAGTTTAAGTGTGGTGGTGTTGTACACTTAAGTATAATAAATGTGTTGTAAATAAATAAGCAAATAAAAAAGTTTGTTTATTTGTCCTCCCTTCTTTC